GAAGTAAGTCTGAAAGATAATTAGCTGTCACTCAGCTAAGGACAACAGTGTGGATGGGTGGAGTGGGGAAGAAAAAGGTGTGGAGAGAATTCTGGGCAGAGGGAGCAGCAAATGTGAGGGTACAAAGGGGAAAGTGCATACTTTATACAAAACCATAAACCAAATCCGTTGCCGTCTAGTCAATTCTGACTCGTAGTGACCCTATAGGACAGAGTAGAACTGCCTCCATAGGGTTTCCTAGGCTGTAATCTTTACAGAAGCAGATTGCCACATCTTTCTCCTGAGTAGCAGTTGGTGAGTTTGAACTGCCAACCTTTGGGTTGGAAGCTGAGCACTTAACCACTGTGCCACTAGGGCTCCTTCACTATATACAAAGGATTCACAATAATTCTAGATGACTAAAGCAAAGAGTTAATGTTGGAGCATGACAAGGGATGAGGTTAGAAAGGTAGACCAGAGCTGGATCATGAAGGGCCATAGATGTCATGCTAAAAAGTTTGAGCTTTATCCTGAAAGTTTTGAGGAGACACTGAAGTATTTTAGCCAGGGGAGTTGGCATATTTGTGGTTTTGAAAGATCACTTTGGCTGTAGGGTAAAAAATTTAGGAGACTATTTCAGTAACACAGGCAAGACATTATAAAATACAGAAATAATTCAGAGATAGAGGGGTTGGAGAAGTTGGATCAAGAATTTATCGGCTGTAAAGGGTGAGGGAGAAGGAGGAGTCTGAGATTAGATGATCCCCAGATTTCTAAACAGTAGCCTTAGGAGAGGTGGTTCCATTCCCCAAGATAAGAAATACAGTTGGGATGGGGTTGGATGTTGAGTGCAAGAAATGAATTTCTCTGCGTTGGACATGTTGAGTTTGAGGTAAGACCATCCAAGAAGAGATTAATAGCAAGGAGATTTGTATACAAAAGATAATTTATGTGGATAAGAAAACCACACAAAAGCTGGCGTATTGGAAGGCCATAGAAGAGTTTCATAGAACTCAGTGGCATGGAGTAGAGCTGGGCCTCCCAGGTATTGCAAGGTTGTTTATAGCTACTTTCCATCTTTCACTGAGGCAGTATGTTTGTTCTGCTTCACTTGTTCTACTAGGCTCAGTTACCACTTCACTATATGGATTATATGGATTTAGAGTTGTCATGATGCTGATCTTGGCCCAACTCCATATGACCTAAATGATCTTTGCCTAATTACTTCTACCTCTCAGTTTCCAAGTCTCAATTCCAAATTCCAGGGAGACAGAATCTAATTGGCCCAGCTCGAGTTAGATAACCACTTGTGGCCAGAGAATGGGCTTATGTGGCTTTTGGGGTTGTCACGCTAAGAATGGAGTGTGATCATGGAGAAAATGATTGCCCAAGAAAATGACTGATATCTGGAGTACAGTTAGAGTAGCACTCAGGATATAGATCTGGGCTGGGGATAAAGATTTGGGGAAGTAGTTAAATCTGAGATTATCTGGGGAGACTGTAGATGCTAAGAAATGGTAAGAGGTGAGAGCAGAACCTTGCGGAGCAGCAGTATTTAAGAACTGACTAGAGGAAGACAAGCCAGTGAAGGTGACTGAGAAGGAATGGAAGGAGACGTAAGAGGAAAAATTGTGTCACAAAAACCAAGAAGGAGGGAGGGGTCAACAATGTGAAATTCTGCAGACAATGGGTAAGATGAGAACTGAAGTATGACAAGGAAACTAGTAGTGATGAAATTTTCAGTGAGGAGATGGAGATAGAAGTCAGATTATAGTGGGATGACAATGTCATAGAATGCCAAATAAATGAGGGGCAGGGAAATAGAGACAGCTTCTTTTAAAAAGTTTGTCTTTGAATGAAAGGGGGCAAATAGAATTAAAGGTAAGTTATATGGCTGAGGAAACACAAAGTATATACTGATCAGAAATTCTGGGTGGGCAGATACTGAGTATATGGATGGCTAAAGCAGGTAATCTTTGATGAAGGCAAGTTCTAGGGGAGGTTGAGTAGGAGGGACTCCAGAGCTCCAGGGATCACGACACCTTTTCCACTGAAGTGAGAGGGAAGAAATAGCATATAAGAGGTACTCGACAAATATTTTTGAATGAATAAAGGAATAGACGGATGGAAGAGTAGATGAGCCAAAGTTCTCAGAGCTTGGGTTTTCCTTTCTCTTGGAATCTCACTTTAGGGCAAGGAGATCAAGTCCTGAGGGCATTCTGAGGCAGGACTAGGGATGCCGACCTGGAGGCCGGGTAGGACAAATACAAGGGAAAGGTCTTTCCTTTGCTCTGCTTCAAGATACTGATAACTCCTTCAGTTGCCTCACTTCTTAGGAAGCCAGAATTTGAGATGGGAGAGAGCGGAATGTGGGTGTGCAGACTTCTGGATTAGAAGACAGAAGGCCATGGATTCTAGTCTGGAATTTGCTACCACATGACCTTAGACAAATTGCATAACTGTGCATCCACTTTCTTCATTTTTAAAAAGTGGGTGATACTACCTTCCCCACCAAAAAGCAATAGATTGCTGTAAAGCATAGTACAGATGCAAGGCCTCATTAATATATACTCCAGACATTTTGAGAATGTGGGTTGCCTCTGGGGTGTGTCCTGTGGAGCTGTCTAATCTTGTCTAACTACACACACATGCGTGGCATTTCCATGCAGGACTGTTCTCCAGGTTCCTTCTTGGCTACTACATGTGCTGAGAGTTTGGCCTGACTGACACTGCAGAGTACTCCCACTGGCATAGAAAGTGCCTGGAGAGAAGCATATTAAAATCCAAATACATTACTTTCTTAAGTCTGAGACATAAAAAGTTCAAACAATTTTATAAATTGCCTCCAGAAATTATACGCAAAAATTAACTCTGCTTCAAAAATTTGCATCCACATTTATAAATGCCACTTCCCTGTGTCCTAATTATATACATCTCCATCTCCACAAGTTAAAAGATAACACAGTTATTTTCCTCTGCAGAGTTCCTCAGCTTCCCTCCAGAGGTAAATGAATACCGAAGACATAGGTATATCATACTTTAGCCACCTTCAGGATTCCAATCAGGCCCTCTGACTAAGTTCAACTATGCAGACTCCGACTACTTTTAGATTCTGGTCATGTGGCAATAGCTGTCTGTTTTTATGGCTCACATAATGGGTATAAATGAAACTAGTAACAGCTGGCATCTACTTCTCAGGGACATTGTACAGGTTAATGAGATCATGCCTATGAATGAATCTGTGTTCTTCATCTTCATCAAAAAGCATTTGAACCAGGCATGGGTGAGGGACTATGCCACACACAACCATTTTCTTGTCAAGTGTGTCTTTTGAAATCAAATTTCTGGGTTATTTCTCTTGTGGCTTAATTTCCAAAACAATGACTTCACGGACCTTAATTGTAAAAAGACAGTCTTGTCACTAGAGGTTTTAGTTTTTCATTTGGCTTTTTATTTCCAAACTATAGTCTCCTCTGCCACGACTCAAGCTATCAGGTATCATTTAGAGTGAACAAAGAGGATTTTTTTTTTCTTTACCAAACTAAGGTAAGCAGTTTGGGCTGTGATTTTTGGAACCTATAAATAGTAGACCTACGGGAGAGAAAAGCATGATATTAATAAAAGTCTTAATATACAAGAAAGTACAGACAAGTGAGCTGAGGACTGACTCATCCCTAAACCCATGGTGGGAGGCGAGTGGGGTGTACTCAGCAATCACTATGTTCTAATTTGTTTTTGTTGAAGTCCAATAGAAAAGTGAGAATTCTATTGGATAAAGTCATGATTCAAAGAGGGTATCTGTAATCCCTTGGAAATGACCAGCATCTTTTAATTCACGCTATAAATGTGAGCAAAGGACTTATATTTGGTCCCTTAGAACAAAATACTTACAAATTTTGGCTTATGAAGTCCACCACTAAAATGGCTTGACTAGAAATCTTAAACACAGTTATTTCTTATATCAACTGGAGGCTCAGAAAAATGTTTTGTTCTTTTCTCTAGTAGCTAATTACCATGTATGTAAGACTGCACTTTTTTTTTTTAAGACAAAGTAAAATTCCAGATGGAAACAAGTGAGAGGGCCTCTGTTTTGGTGATGTAGCATTCGTTGGCATTTCAAAACTACAAACACATTTGAGTAACTAGCTGCTATTAGGAAAAAGAAAAAAAAATTAGGATCAACATTGCTAAGTACAAAATAAGAACAATGGGTATGTAAAGGCTAATCAGTAGAAATAACAGTTTGTCGTGGTAGAAAACATATCGCACACATGGAGAATACATATTGAAAACAAAATTTTATTTATCGCCTAACTATTCTGGATCTAAATAATGAGAATCATAACCTATAAGCTTAGATTATGTGTATGTGTGTTTTCCTAAGCCTGAGAGCAAGGTGGAGCCCTGGTGGTGCAGTGGTTAAGAGCTCGGCTGCTAACCAAAAGGTCAGCAGTTTGGATCCACCAGCCACCTCTTGGAGACCCTATGGAGCAGTTCCACTCATCTTATAGGGTTGCTATGAGTTGGAATTGACTCAACGGCAATAGGTTTTTTGGTTTTGAGAGTAAGGTCACCTTCCTATTCACCTTCATACCCCCTCACAGTGCCTTGAACAGGGCAGTGCACACAATAGATGCTTAGTACATATTTTTGGGTGAAATAATGTACATTTGCTTTGCCATTGTAAGTGGCACAAAGTATGAAGGCACAGACTTATTACAAATAAATTTTTACTTCCTTGAGACTCTTCTGGGACCCCAACAGTATAAGACAGGGAGAAATGGAAGAAATCTAGGGAATATTGGCATTCTTAATACTAGCTAGGTATAATGCACCAAGTCTTCACTATAGACATGTGGAAGGATATACAACAGTCTGCAGACCTGATCCAAACGTAGCTGATGCTTGAAGTATTGACAACAGTCCAGTATTTAATGTTTCTTCTTTCATTTAAAAAAAAAAAGAAGAAGAAAGAAATCATTTGAAACTAATTATTAATATGAGTAACAGGGTTTTCTGGGGAGGTACTTTATTTTATTGAAATCTACATATAACATTTGCAATGAAAACACTTTAAATCCAATGAAAACTTTAAAAAATATATCACAATCAAAACTCACAGGTATTTACTGATATTTACCTAACAGAAGGCCCAAAATTATTATGAAAACATTAGAGAACATGATATAAGAGCTTACATTAATATGTGACAAATCAACACGATTAAATGTCAAAAGAAGACAAATATAGAAAAAAAATATGGTTGATTTTACACCTTAGTTCAGAATTCTATGATTGGTTATTATCACTGTTTAAGAATGATTATTATTCTGTTCCATAAAAAATAATACTTGCTTTACTTATCTTTTTGATGAGTAGAAACTAAATATAAGCTTAGAAAATTTTAAATTCTGATATAATATAGCATATGTTCTATTTAAATATTCACAGTAACACTGCATTGCTAGTCTTTAAAAGTACAGAATGTATCACAGACTGTGTTGACTTACAAGGGAAAGCAGTAACAGTGTCTATCTGTGGTTTGAGAAAAGAATAAAAATGTAGTACTATGTCATGGATTAACAATGAATGTTTCCCATATTCAAACTGAGTGGTCATCACATTTTAATTTTTCCTGGGAAAATCCTTAAATAGATTTCAAAATTTGTGGGTAAACTTTGAACTATGGCTAAATGTTAATAATGCTGACATGATTGATGACCGATTCTTTTTTAATAAAATAAACCAAAAAAACCCAAAAAACAAACAAAAACCAAACCTGTTGAGTAGATTCCAACTCCCAGGGACCCTATAGGACAGAACAGAACTGCCCCATTGGGTTTCCAAGGCTGTAATCTTTATGGAAGTAGGCTGCTATATATTTCTCCTGTGGAGTGGCTGGTGGATTCGAACCGCTGACCTTTCTGTTAGCAGCTGAGTGCCTAACCCTGCGTCACCGGGGCTCCTCTCTTTTTTAATAGTTGAGGAAATACTGAGTTTTCTTAAAATAAAAAAAGACAGTTTCTCTCCTCACTCTCCCTTTCCTGCTGTCCCCTAATCACAGAACACGTGATGAAAAATAATAGGTTGAAAATGATTAGTATGGTGGGTTTGACCATATTTTTTTCTCTGAATCAGACTGGTTGCAGTTTCTTGGGCTGATTATTGCTTCTTTCAACTGTTCAGAAATCAGTCATTTATGATGGATTTTTTAAAAAAGGACACTGGAAGGATCAGTGAGGAAGGCAATAACAGCAACAATATCTTTTACCTAAACCCCTAAATTTCCCAATGTATCATTTAAAGTTAAATTTCAATCAAAAATGTAAAGACAATCACAGTGAGAGGATAAAAATAACATGACGGAGGGTAAATAGTGTAAAGAACGTGAGATTTAGAGCCATTTACTGGCCATGGTGTCTTGAGCAAGTCACTTGATCTTTTTAAATCTTGGTTCCTTAATTTCTAAACTTCAGAGAGTATTAGTACTTTGTATGGATGTTTATGTTTTAACGATTAAATATATGAACGATCTTTGCAAAATACAAGGCAATAAACATATGTTATACATTTCTATGGAAAAAATGGAGGCTCTGTATTTTTGTTCTTCTGACCTCTGCATAATTACCATCTATCTGTGTAAGATTTCAAAAATGGATTCTTATTATAACATTTAGCATATTATATAGAAATACTACATACACTATTAGTTTGCTTTCCCTTGTATATATGTGTAGGAGCTTTGAAACAGAAAAGATACCATTTTATGTGGTAGTTCCAAAAATGGTCTATACAGTGCACTTAAAGTTTTTAAAGAGGATATTCTTATTTGGTTTACAGTTATACAATTTTATGGCATTTAGGAAAAACACTTTGACAGTTACTTTTAAGAAAACTAAATACTTAACCTCCCCCCACCCCCAAACCCAGCATTAACAGACCACACTATGGAAACAATTTACCAGAAGAGATACTACTATGGTTTGTTTTAGTATGGTCAGTTCACAAATTATTGTTAAGATACAGCACTAACACAATATGCTAGAATCACCATTTAGCAAATTTCACCAACTTTGAAAAAAATGGATAAAATCACTTCTCACAAAGATCACTAACAGTAATACATAAAACACTAAATTACACCAAAAGTGAAAATTCATATTCACAAAATGAAGTTACCAGACTAAATGTTTTAATGATTTGCTTCACTAGTCAAAACATACATTTCCTATTATGATAGAGGCCTTTAAAAACTGCCCCCCTTTCTGAATGGAAGTGATATAAGACTAAACCTCTGGACAAATAATCTCGGTATGACAAAATATTTCTGTATTATTCAAATGGACAGCTGTCATTTTGACGATTTCTCTAGTGTCCAAATATCAGCATCCGTCTTGCCTAATCTCTGTCTACCAAAAATAGGCAACCAGAAAATACTTCTGTTTTCCAATGGGTGTAGTCACCTCTTACTTATTTTGTAGGTATAAACAAAAGCTACATCTCTTCTCTTTTCAACTGTCCACTAAAGCCAAACAAAAGAGTTTGGGCTGTCCCTGAATCTTGTTTCTCACTCCTGAGCAAAATTAACTACAGTATGGCTCATATCAGGTCTCAGCTGTATTCACAAACATTTCACAACATTTTGTGAATATTATTTTAAATTACAATCATTGCTGCTGGGATCAGATGGCATTAACTTTTTAATGTGATAAAATGCACCTTATCAACTGGCTACAGTTCATGGTAATTACATTTGATTCTGACTTGCTATTTATTACACAAATTTAAATAGAAGATTAACTTGAACAGACTTTTTTTGATAACTATCTCAACACTCAAAAGATGAAATGATAAACCATAATAACTAAATCATGGTCAAAATTAAAAGCAATTACATTTTTTAAAATATCTTGTTCTTATATTGTGCTGAAGCCACTTAGCAGTATTAGAAATATCAATATTTGAATCTGCAAAATTGCCAGTAACTAACTCTTTATAAATCTTAGAAATCTGTTCATTCACTAGAGATATACAGCATCTTAGTGACTAGAGGGGAGCAACATGTACATGTGTATGTATAACAATCTGAAGATACAGAATTTTCAAAGATGGAAAGAACTTTACAAATTACTAAATTGAAAGTCTTCACTTTGCTGGTAAAGAAACTGGGGCTCAGAGAGGTTAAAGGGACTTTCCAAGGAAACATGAGAGTTACTGGCAGAGCCAGCACTAAAGCACAGGCATCTGCTTAAGTTCTGATGAACTGCTCCTTGGGAAAAAAATCAAGAGACAGTAAGGCAAACACTCCACACAGCCCAGGCATATATGTTAAGTGTGCAATAAAGTTCTCCTACTGTCTTAGCATTTCACATACCTTAACTTTAACCTCTAGTTAAATTAACTAATATCCCCCTTTCAGCTATTTTATTCATTTGCTTCCATTTGTGCAGAGTGATTTTTCTTTTTCATGATCCTATTATAGATCAGTGACAATTCTTAGAGAAGAAAAAATCCTATTTCCTCTTCTCACAATCAATTTGAAGAAAGATATATTTATGATACTTCCAGGGCTTAAACCTTATTTCAATTTATTCTTTCCTTCTGAAATGCGTAAGAACATCTGAGTAGTTAACTATTCTTCAAAGCATCTTTCAAACGTGTATAATGAGGATTTTAGGTTGGAAAGGGTTCTGTGTACCCATTTTGCAATTAAGGAAACTGAAGCCTAGTAATGGTAAGTAACTTCTCTAGTGTCCCACAGGTAGAAAGTGGGTAAAAATTCTGGTCTCCTGATATCTAGATTCTTTTTACTACCCATTCTGTGAACCATCTTTGATATGACAGTTTACTCATCTGTACTATCCTGTGCTTTTGTTTATCCCAGAAGTCCAGGTCTTGTCTTTATTTGAAACTGTGGCCTGTGATAATGCAGATATGATATTAAGTATACTACAGTGTTTAAAGTTGTATCAGTGGTGTTTTATGAAGGTAGTTTGTCGATTTTTACAACACATACTGATCCTTACTAATACATCTGAATGTCTAAGACCCCCTATGGCACAGCTGTTCAGTTTGTTTCATTCATTCCAATAGCTGATGTGAATCACTTTACTGCTGGCCAGGCTGCGATCATTAGTTACAGTATGAAGTTGACTGAAATCGATTAACCATTCTCTGGCCTAGGGCCTCTACTATATGGGTTAACACAGAACAAAAGCAAGGTGGTGGGTATATTTTTCACTTTAACCACAAATCATCTAGATTGGAGGGTCACATAGTTCAAATCTGAGGTAACTGTCACCCTTTTACTTTATTCTTACAGTGATCTGGTCTCAAAGTTTTGACAACAGAGAAATTACCGGCAGATTGTGCAAAAAAAAGTAACCTGGATAGCTCCTATCCATGTATTTCGTTTCGGGGGGTATAAGATTGTTTCAGTTACTGATTCTTTTTTTCAATTGCCCAGGTCTGATGATTCCACTTAATATAGTAGACATGTTCCCCCAGAGTCTGTGAAAAACATTGGCATTGGTTTTTAATAAAATTAACAAGAAATGTATATATGTATATATATACACACACACACATATGTATACACACACATATGTATGTATATATACACATATATATTATATATACATATATACATATACACACACATACATATTTAACAATGAAATTCATCACAGGTATTTCCTTCTATAGGGTATCAGAGTATTATAATCTTGGCTTTGCTGACAAAATATTTTCATAATTCTGTAAGTGCTCTTATAACTTACATTGTTGTGCATCTGAATAACAGGAAATAAGTTATTTATGTATTCATTCAGGTATTTATGCATTTGAAAATAAAATATAGAAATGAAAAAGAGTCTTTTTTTATACTAAGTGTTCACAGTTTGACTTTCCATAAGGCTTATTAAATAATATACAAATAGCTACCATTCTGCTGAAATGTCACAGTAAATACATTAATAATGGCACAGAAGTGAAATGCCCCCAAATGGGAAACCACATTTTATAACCTTCTAAACCTCTTTTCCAACTAAAACTTTATTTATCAAAAGATTTCTAACAGAATATAAAAATAGAAGATGATACAAGAAACCTTTTACAAATAGAATTTTGAAGGAAATGCTATAAACATTAGATGAAATATTGTATGTATCTTTAAGAATGTGTTTTGTATAGCTACACCAAACATCCCATGAAAATGAAACTGTATGAGTGTATTATATAATGGTTGAAAAGTATAACTAAACGCTAACATTTTAGTTAAGATAAATAACTTAAGCATATAATGAATGACTACCAATCTATTTTTATAAAGCTCAGCTCATCTAAAACCTACCTACAAGCCTAATTTGCAAACTTACTATTTTGAATCAAAAAAAAAAAATGTGTAATCGAGCAAGGCACATATCTTTTAGGCAAGTCTATCTTTAATACCATTCATCTGGGCACAGTGTAGATTTCACTTATTTATATGTAAATGGACTAATTTATGTATGAGAGCCTTTGGTACAAAACACACCTTCACAAAGTTCCACATAACCCAGAATATAGAACATAACATTAATACAGCTCATGATTAAACACAGTCCAGAAACTAACTGAAAAAAGGAACAGTAATAGTTGGCTTGTTAGAAACAAACATTTAGCCTTTCTTTATCGGCAGCACTGATTCTAGTTTTTGGATGTTAGATTTCATCAAAATGTCAGAAGGTTGAAATGATACCTTAAAATTTTTTTTAATATTTTTTATTTCTTGATCAATTTTTATATTGCATACAATTTGAAGAGACTCCTCCAGCTTCAAAGCTGTTTCCTTTATATAAAGCATTTGTTCGAGACATCTGAATGTCAGCTGAGACAAACACATGTGCAGGCAGAGGCAGTTCACCACCCATCAGTGATCTCACTGCCACTGCTTCTTGATCTAGGCAATTAAAATGAGCGTCTTACTGGTCAGTGCAGCTCTACAGTTTCTTGCGCGGGGCTCTTGAGAAATCTGTTGAACAGAGGAAACACAATGATTTACTGTATATGCAGGTTTTCTTTTAATTACAGACTTTATGTCAATATAAAATGTTCCATTCATTAACTTTTTAAAACTTTGAGATAAAAAAAACTATTACCTTGAAACATTCAAGCAATTTAATGTCTAAATGCATTAACCACATATTGAATGCCTTTAATTTATAAGTTAGGAAAAGTTCTAGAATATGCTGAAATTGTGGATCATTTTTTTCCCCATTAAAAATGACCTCCAAATTTAGTCCAAACTAAGATGACAGAGTTGGCTTTTTTAACAGGAAATTTTATTTTCATCCTTCATGAAAGGTTCTGAGTGTCCCCTGACTTTTACAGAAATGTGTTTATTCATTTTCTTAATGTATTTCCAAGAGCTTGTTTCATTTCTAGCTCTGCATCTCACTACGGTAATCTAAGATGAGAACTCTTTTTGAAGTGAATAGAAATTCTACCCAGATGAGTGTCATGGAAAGAGAGAGAGAGAAAAGGAGAAAATCTCAAAATGAGTACAGTGAAAATTATTTTCTAGTGCTACAGTATGTCATGCCTATAGTTTATCTTGTCATTACAAATAACTTTCAAATCTGTTGATCCTTTAAAATATGAACTCTGCACAGTTATGTACCACTTTAAAACATCACAGAATAGGACAACAAGAGCCACTTGACCAAGGGTCTGTGAAGAGCCAAAAAAAAAATTTAAAGGTTGGGGCTCTCCCACCAACTCACCTACCACTGTGGGACACACGACTGCTGAAATTTTCAGCCTGTCACCTGACCTATGGATTTGGGACTTGCCAACCCCCACAAGTGAAGAGCAATAAGCCTGGAGTTACTCAAAGCAACAAATTATGAAGACATACTAAGAAGTGAGGAAATTCCTGTGTTTCCAAATGGCAAAGTACACTCACACAAGGGACATGATGTGTCATCATCTGCCTGGGAAGTCCCAAGTGGCCTGGTCTGACGAGGCAGAGGAGACTTATGGTCTATGCTTTATTTGGCTCCACCCCTTGTCCAGCTCTGTTTTTTTGGGTAAGAATAGATTTTTAGACTTTCTATGAAGAAGAAATGCTTAGAAAACATAACAAACATATTTAAACTTTCAGAAATAAAATAAACCATATCCCCTTAAATTACACACATACATACATTTTATATAAACAATGTATAGACATATAGTCAAAGAAAAAAAATCTCTCTCTTTAGGTGCTATATGTAACTTTTAAGCTATTTGAACATTGATGCATGGAATTTTCTAAATTAAGTTTTACTAGAAGACAAAATAATGAAGTCTGCTTAGTTATTATCTTAGAATGCAACAGTGAATATTTTTTTAATGAATATAGAAAAAAATATGGCTTGTGGTAGGCAGAATAGTGGCTCAACAAAATGTCCATGTCCTAATCCCTGGGACCTGTGAACATGTTACCTGACACGGCAAGAGGGACTTGGCAGAGGTGATTAAAGTTAAGGGTTATGAGATGTGGAGATTATTCTGGAGTATCTGGGTTGGTCCTATCTAATCATATGGGTTCTTAAAATTGGGGAACCATTCCCAGCTATGGTTAGAGAGTTGTGACTTTCTACAGAAGAAGGGTCAGAGAGATATGAAGTGAAAAGGACTTGAGCTTCCATTGTTGGCTTTGAAGACGACGGGAAGGACTCACTAACCAAGGAATGTGGGCAGCTCTAAAAGCTGGCAAGGAAACAGATTCTCCCTTAGAACCTCCACAATGAAACAGCCCTGTTGACACATCTACTTTAGCCCATTGAGACCCATACTGGACTTCTGATCTATGAAACTGTAAAGTAATAAATTTGTGTTCTTTTAAGAAAAAAAAAAATAAAGTTGGGTCCTTCTTTCCCCAACTACAGAAAATTTTTTGGAAATGCTGACAGTAAAGTATTTCTTAATAACAGCATAAGACAATACGACAGTCTTGCTCACTGCTACATCCAGAATGTAAATGATGTTTGGCACACAGTAGACTCTTAATGAATATGTCGAATGATGGATAAATCCCTACCACCTTGCACAGTATGTGACACACAGGAGATACTCAGTAAATGTATGTTGAATGAATAAATGGCCATATGAAAATTAGATTCATGTCTCTTCAGAAGTTTACCAACTACGTAGTATAAAGACAAAAACAGAAAATGCTAAACTTTGTTCCAGATGTCAATGTGTCAATATAATCTATCATAATGCGTACAGAACACTGTTACCCATATATACTCCTGGTTTCAATGGGTGCTTCCAAACCAGTGATAAATTCCCAAAGATGGTTATCTGGCATTTAAGTGTGCTTTTGAGGAAATAATGTTTCATTCACTAAATTAAATATTTATTGTATGCCTACTCATTGCTCAACAGTCATCTACTGAATAGTTTTCCTTACGGGCCTGGATCACACTGGGTCATCCCTGATAAAAGGTATAACTTCTTCTTAACGTTGACTTTTAGTCAAAAAAACAAAAACAAAAAAACCCTTGGCGTCCAGTCGATTCCAACTCATAGTGACCCTATAGTCAAAAAGTAAGAGTATATTCTTGCATTACAGTATGATTAATTTTCATTATCAGAGTTTGAAAATTATCATGGTTTAATAGCTATTGTTGTTACATGCCATCGAGTCAGTTCTGACTCACAGTGACCCTATGTACAACAAAACAAAATACTGTTCAGTCCTGTGCCATCCTCACAGTCGTTGCTATGTTTGAGCCCACTGTTGCAGCCACTGTGTCAATACATCTCTTTGAGGGTCTTCCTCTTTTTCACTGCCCTTCTGCTTTACCAAGCGTGATGTCCTTCTCCAGGGACTGGTCCCTCCTGATAACATGTCCAAAGTATGTGAGATAAAATCTCGGCATTCTCACTTCTAAGGAGCATTCTGGCTGTACTTCTTCCAAGACAGATTTGTTTGTTCTTCTGACAGTCCATGGTATATTCAATATTCTTCGCCAACACCATAATTCAAAGGCATCAATTCTTCTTCAGGCTTCCTTCTTCATTGTGCAGCTTTCACACGCATATGAGGCGACTGAAAATACTATGGCTTGGGTCAGGCTCACCTTAGTCCTCAAAGTGACTGCTTTTTAGCATTTTAAAGAAGTCTTTTGCAGCAGGTTTGTCCAATACAACATATTGACTGATTTCCTGGCCGCTGCTTCCATGGACATTGACTGCAGATTCAAGTAAAACAAAATCCTTGACAACTTCACTATTTTCTCTGTTTATCATGATGTTGCTTATTGGTCCAGTTGTGAGGATTTTTGTTTTCTTTATGTTGAGGTGTAATTCATACCGAAGGCTGTAGTCTTTGATTTTCACCAGTTAGTGCTTCAAGTCCTCTTTACTTTCAGCAAGTAAGGCTGTGTCATCTGCATATCGCACGTTGTTAATGAACCTTCCTCCAGTCCTAATGCCATGTTCTTCTTCATATAGTCCAGCTTCTCAGATTATTTGCTCAGCATACAGATTGAATAAGTATGGTGAAAGGATACAACCCTGATACACCCCTTTCCTGATTTTAAACCATGCAGTATCCCCTTGTTCTGTTCGAACAACTGCCTCTCAGTCTATGTACAGGTTTCACGTGAACACAAGTAAGTGTTCTGGAATTCCTATTCTTCATAATGTTATCAATAATTTATTATAACCCACAAAGTTGAATGCCTTTGCACAGTCAATGAAACACAAATAAATATCCTTCCGGTATTCTCTGCTTTCAGCCAAGATCCATCTGACATCAGCCATGATATCCCTTGTTTCATATCCTCTTCTGAATCTGGCTTGAGTTTCTAGCAGTTCCCTGTCAATGCACTGTTGCCACCATTTCTGAATTATCTTCAGCAAAATTTTACTTGTGTGTGATATTAATGATATTGTTCGACAGCTATTAATGACTACTTATTACAAGACATTACAACATGAATGACCTGGGATCAATTTTACTTCCTAAGTACCCAGCCTCTGCTCAATGCTACTTAGTCTTGTTATCTTGAATAGTTCTATTAAGCTATGGTTTATTGCTGTTACATCCTTTTTATATAAGGGATTGGACCATTTTTAAACCTCATGTGTCAACAGCTGCCTCTCTTGAGATTATTAAATAAGTACAGTATAGCTTGGCATCCTATTAGATTATAGGTGTAGAAAGCAGGTGCAATTCAACAGAAATAAGAAATAAAGGTGATATCTGGATAGGTAGTAATCATGATGTTTATATTAATCGGTAAGAAATGGGTTGAAGGGCTTAGAAGAATGATCACTGAGTTAAGCATCAAAATCAAGTCTACAAAAAGAGAAAAAGGAGCTATAATAGAAAGTGGTGACCTATAATTGAAGACATTTGAACAAATAAATGTTCTAACATAGAAAACAAGAAAAGAAGTTAAGAGCAGTCAAATTTAAATAATTATCAAATTTGTGGATTATCTGTGCCCCTTGATTTTCCCTGGATTTGCTAATTAATACCTCCACCAAGGCCTAAATGAAAGAAGGACAGAAACCCAGCCTACTTAACTGTTAGCCTCACTAACATGTATTTGATGAGGGAAGGATTGAAATTATTCTATAATGTGTAGTTTTATGGGAACTTTGCTTTCACGTGTCTATACTCTGACGTCTATTAAATAACATAGAGTTGGCTGCACACCAATAAGTTCTACAAATTCTACCAACTAAATTATAATAAATAAACCCCAAGGACTAGAAAGATTTTTTTTTTCTCAATTATATACAATTCTCTGATTGGGCTCTTAAAAATTATGTACACTTGGCAAGCAAAAGAAGTTTAAATTCACTCAGTAAGTAAAGTTGGTAATGTGCTAAGATGTAAGTTTTGTAAAAATATCTGGAAAGTCATGGAAAAATGAGCTGTGATCTGTAATCAATACTACTTTAAGCAGTATTTAGGTCTACTAATAATGAATATCCTCAATTCACATAATTGCATAGTAAAATAAACTACTCTTTTGAAATCAGTTAAAATGTTTGAAGGTAAAAGGCTTACAAAATCTAGGTATAAACCAATGCCCTGATAGATTCAAACTTGGGAGAAATTATTTGTCTGTGGTTTTTGGTCACCCACAAAATTTTGCCCTTTAGAAATATGACATACAGTCACTCTGGTTTAATATGATTTTCATTACAGTTTCTTATATAAATAACATATTAGTGAATATTTGACATTTTATTGTCCTGAGCCTTGAGAGGTAGGTACTGACACATGAGGTAAATACAAAATGTAATAGTGCATGAGGCATCCTCTTAAATGTCTAATACCTTGACTATAATAGGTTTAACAGAAAATCCAGTAAAACTCAAAAAATAATGTCACAACCCCTACCCAAAACCAGAAAAAAATTCATGAAAAAAAAAAACTAGTTCCATTCTCTGTCTTTCATCATTTCTATAAAAGGCCCTAACAGTGTGTCCTCTGAAGAGAGAAACGATCTCTGTCCAATGTGGTCTTACTTGTTTGTATAGGCTGATGGAAGGATTCCTAACTTCTACTAGTCTACACAGGTAATCTCAAGTACATACATTAGTTTTCTTTAATTTAGTAACATAGTTAGTAAGGAAACTGTTCTACTCAGATGTGCAGAGGCAGTAGCCAGTTCATTCTCTGGCCTGGTTTGCCTGGGAAATCCAGGAAAGTAGGAAATTCAGAAGTGGTGTGGAGAACGTTCCTCTCTATGCCTGTCAGGAGAAGCCCCATTTCCTACTGCAGAAGAAAGTGCATCTGTTACGATATTACCTAAAATCCGGCACTATCTGTAGTATCCACTTATATTGATGCTTTAATCAGTTTCAGTCATTTCATACCACACGTCAGGTTTTCAAAGATGCTAGGACTCTCCCAATACCAATGGATGATACTGGATTGCCTCTCATCTTCTATCTTATTTCATTTAGAAGTGGCTTAAGTTTTGCCATTATAAAAGTCACTGTAAGAATCTGTTATTTTTCATGGATTCAATGACCTTATCTACCCTGTCCTATAGGGTCACCATGAGTCGAAATCGACTTGATGGCAACAGATATTGGTGCGTGCGTGTGTGTATATACATATATGTAATAAATTGCCCCTCACTGGCTTCTCTTCCAAATTAAATCAAATGTTTTAATTTCAGAAATATGTTTAAATGTATAAAAGTAGAACCTCAGGACTCAGAAGAAATTTCCATAAAGAATACCAAATCAATAAACTCGTTGCCACTGAGTTGATTCCAACTCAAAGCAACCCTACAGGACAGAGCAGAACTGCCCCATAGGGTTTCCAAGGAAAGGCTGCTGGATTCAAACTGCTGACCTTTTGGTTAGTAGCTGAACTCTTAACCACTGCACCCCAGGGCTATGAAGAACTGGAGTTTAAAATAAATGTAATGAAAACAAATGAAATAACAGTAAGGACTAACATACAACACATAGGTGTGATGCTAAATTTCATTCTAAAAACTTGGTAGGAATCTCAACAGAGATTCCCAAGACCCCTTGTGCTACTACTGTGGGGGTGAGGGTGGGGGTTCACTGGATGGAAAAAGCTTCTTCTCCCTACTCCTCACCACCACGCTGAGGGATGAGGTGGTAATCCCTGTATATGAAAAGTCAGAGCCCTGCATGCACAGATTTATTTGTAACATTTTTCAGATATGACAAAACATCATTTTTGCTCACTTAAAAGTGCTATATAATTACCAACCAGAATCCCAGGATTTATTTTTTCAGAGCAGAGTTCCTATTCTGTACTATTTAGGTTGCAAGAATGATAAAATGGCTCCCAAGAAAATGATAGGAAGAAGCTCAGCCTCTTTTCCAGACCTCTTCTTTAATGCATTTCGACGACCAATGGTGCAAATTTTGAAACGTAAGGAAAAACATCTAGTACAAAAATTAAAAACAGAAATATAAAGAAAAAATCTTTTTTTTTGGGTAAAAATGTATTTTTCTTTACAATTTGGAAGAGAAAATTAGTCCATAGCATCATTAAAAATAAAAGCAAACATCTGTAAACTTTCTAACCAGTCTGAATCATTTAAATTACATTTGCAGCTGAACATGAGTATCCTATCTATTATCATGTGCTATATAGCAATGGCCATTTTCTGTCTGGAGGGTAGGAGCAGAGCCACAATGGAGTAAGGTTTGGGCTCTGCAGGCTTTCCCACCCTTCCTCCTGCCTCCTCTCACTTGCCGTCTCTCAAAGGTTACCAACCACTCAGCAGGTGTATATAACACAAGTGATTTCGTTAATATATATAAAATCACCACTTCAAAATATAGGAAATTAGTAGTACAAAAGCAATAGTTTTATCCTCCTTAGTTTAAAAGGCCAAATACAAAACAGAAATTGCAATACAAGAAAGAAAAACCCCCACCCTAAAACGCAATCATAAGTATCCTCTTCCTGGTTCTGATGCTCCTCACCTCTAACTCACAGTGTTTCCGCAAGTCTTCAGACTGGGGGGCACATGTGCTTCTTTGCATTTCTTAGTGGGAGGGGTTATCACTTCTATTCACAGCTGAGGGGTGGAAAGGACTTGCAACTGCTGTAGAAAACGTTGACATTTTTAAATGTATAGAAGCCAGGAATTTATAGTTATGGTTTCCAAAGGAATAGACTATTGGCATATATTACATAACTGAATTTACATATTATCAGCAAAACAATGACTTGAGTATGTGCCAAAGAGGTAAACAGCAAACTTTATGTAAGCCATAACTCTACATTTCTTGATTTACTCTTTGATTATTCTTCACTTCAAAATTTAGAAATAACTATTTCCTTTTATGTGTAGGCATTTGTGGTCATGTAACCACAGTTGCTAGGTATTTCAATTTGGTATACCATCAGTTTAAAACATCATAAAAGAAATAAAACAATAACATTAACCTCCATGTTTATCTCTAGATTCACCAACTTTAGAGAGTGTACATTTTCCCCAGGGATGTTGATGGATATGCACGGATCGAATCACACCTCCTCACGTGAATGTCTTGCTATACACAAACATACGTGTACCTTGCCAACACCCAAGGCTTGCTATTCCACAGTGAAGTCTGTGGCCTGGCAAAGCTAACTGGAAAGTGTAAACCGCAGACTCATTGGCATTTTGCTCTAAGCCCAAATCACTATCCATTTTCATTTCCTAAACGATTAAGGACCCTAGAGAAGGGGCTACAGCTATTATGTGGGATAAAATTATATTCTAATGTGTTTTAGAGCAGAAATGCTTACATCCATGGCGTAGCTGGGTAAGGCAATAATGTCACAGACTTAAATGAACTGGCAATCTCCTCCTGTTCTCAATCCTTTTGTTCTAAGTAATTCCTCCCTTCTAAAATAACGGAGTCACAATGTTTACATTACTTTCTGGCATAGTTCTTCAGTAACCTAAGCAAAGTACAAAGCAATGGAAAAACAATGATTTGCATAATACTATCTATTCGAGATTAAAATACATGAAAACAGGAAATCAGTCTTAAAACTGAAAAATATCCATTGTCCTAGCAGGTATCACTGCTATGACTGGTTATACTTTAAGATTAAACCCAGATGAATCAATCATTTAAGAAAATAATCTTTCATTACTAGAGAATTCAATCTCTTCACCCAATTTAAATCTTATATTTGATCCTTCTGGTTAAAAATATCAAATTATTAAAAAGGGTAAACTGAATGACATAGGCTTCTGGAGACTTTCTTTACCCAAATTCATTAGTTAGTAACATGGGCTGAAGTCAAACCTAAACGCATAAAATTATATATATATATATATTATATATTATATATATAATATATATATATATATATTTT